ATCTCTCCAGGTAATTAAAACCAGCCTATAGGACCTGCACTAGATAAACATGATAGTCTACATAATCTGCTTTTGTGTGCTTCAAAAATGGGGTCAATGAACATCATGTTCAGGCATGGGATGATAACCAGATTAAGGTTTACGTCAAAATCAAGTAAAAAAAAAAACGCTTAAAGTTTCTATTATACTGTTCCTGCATATGTACACTACCTGACAAAAGTCTTGTCATCAATTCCAGTTGTAAGAGCAACAAATAATAACTTGACGTCTAGTTGATCATTTGGTAAAAGTGGCAGAAGGTCGAATTCTCTGATGAATCATTTGTTGATCTGCATCCCAATGATCACAGATACTGCAGAAGACCTACTGGAACTCACATGGAGCCAAGATTCTCACAGAAATCAGTCAAGTTTGGTAAAAGAATGGTTTGGGGTTACATTCAGTATGAGGGCATGTAAGAGATGTACAGAGTGGATGACAACATCAACAGCCTGAGGTAGCAAGACATTTGTGCTGCTCATTACATTACAAACCACAGGAGAGGGCAAATTCTTCAGCAGGATAGCGCTCCTTCTATAGCCTGGTTTATACTTCTGCGTCAAGTGACCGGCGTAACCCACGGCGCATGCAACGCGCGTAGCTGTGCATTTATACTTCTGCACGCTGTCTCTGTTGGTCTGCATTAACACTTCCGAAATGCTAGTTGGCAGTAAAGGTGTAAATGTTCCTCTGTGTCGAGTTTCTTCGCTGCTGTTTCGCTTTTCTTGAACACTTCCGGGATGTACAAGTGGCTCAAACTCGCTCATTTTGAGGCAGGAACCAGCTGATGTGCAACAACTTTAACTATGAGGTAAACACAAAACAAAACTTTCCATCCGGAGCTCCTTCATGCGACTCCACACTTGTAAACAATAGCTCCATCAGGCTCGCACCATTCACGCGTCTCTCGGTCCCGCCCAGATTCGTCAGCGCTACCAAGCCGACCAATCACAGAGCTTGCGCTACGCGTCGTTGTGACATGTAGTTACATTTTTTGAGAGGTGCACGTCAGCGACGGCCACGGCGAAGGGCTATTCGTTAGCGCCGTACCATACGCCGGCGTTTGACGCATAAAGCCTGATTTATACTTCTGCGTCAGGTGACCGGCGTAACCCACGGCGCAGGCAACGCGCGTGGCTGTGCATTTATACTTCTGCGCGCTGTCTCTGTCGGTGTGCATTAACACTTTCGAAACGCTAGTTGGCAGTAAAGGTGTAAATGTTCCTCTGTGTCGAGTTTCTTCGCTGCTGTTTCGCTTTTCTTGAACACTTCCGGGATGTACAAGTGGCTCAAACTCGCTCATTTTGAGGCAGGAACCGGCGGACGTGCAACAACTTTAACTATGAGGTAAACACAAAACAAAACTTTCCATCCGGAGCTCCTTCACGGGACTCCACATTTGTAAACAATCGCTCGCGCGGCGTCGCGCCATTCGCGCGGCTCTCGGTCCCGCCCAGACTCGTCAGCACTACCAAGCCGACCAATCACCGACCAATCATTTTGGGGCGGCACGGTGGCTCAGTGGTATGCAAGGTCACCTCACAGCAAGAAGGTCGCTGGTTTGAGTCCCGGCTGGGCCAGTTGGCATTTCTGTGTGGGGTTTGCATGTTCTCCTTGTGTTGTGGGTTTCCTCCAGGTGCTCCGGTTTCCCCCACAGTCCAAAGACATGCACTATAGGTGAATTGGATTTACCAAATTGGCCTTAGTGTATGAGTGTGCATGTGTGAATGTGAGAGTGCATGGGTGTTTCCCAGAACTGGGTTGTGGCTGGTAGGGCATCCGCTGTGTAAATATGTGTAAATTGTATAAATATAAAAATGTAAATGATGGAATAGTTGGTGGTTCATTCAACTGTGGCAATCCCTGATAAATAAGGGGCTAAGCCAAGGGAAAAAGAATGAATGAATGAATGAATGTACTGTTCAAAAATATTTGAAATGTTACATATTGTGTTTAATAAAGGAAAAAAAGTTGCTGTTTTTTACTCAGACATTTAAAAATAATATATTTTAATCACAATACAGTGATATTTTTACCCAAGGTTATCACACCTAAGAATCGTATATTACACTGTAAAAAATTAATGACAACAAGATAAGACAACAAATAAACAAATATCTTTATGTTGCTTTTACTAATTTTAATAAGTTAATCGGGTTTCGACTAAAAACATTTTAAGCTGTCCAAAGTTTAAAGGCCACCTGTGATGAAATGCTTTTCATTTTGTAAGCTGTTTGGACAGAACTGTGTGCGGGTGTAGTGTGTCCACAGTCATACTGGAGTGATATAAACACAATAAGTCTCTTTTTTTTTATTTTTCTGGCGTTAAAATAGGATCCAAATCCCTCCCATTTTAAGGCCGACCGCAACTTGACATAGGAGTGCGGTTTCCCAACCCACCAAATTGATTGACAGCCGCATAGTAACATGTCTTCGCAGTAACTCGTATGATTATATCAACAAGACAGGATGTGTGCAAAGCAACTGGGATTAAAAGATCTTATCAGCACGCTGTGATCATCAATCATCATCAATTGTGATCAAGAGCGAGTTTCTCAAGTTTCAAAGGTTTTTAAAACAGTGTATGCTTGTAATGAATAACAACCATTTTATCGTCTTTACTTTTTCACCACAGCCGCATATCAGTACAATTATAAAAGAAGAGGCTTCAATCCCGGTTTGTGGACATTAAATCAGGTTTATTTTGTAAATTAACATAACGGATATCCATACAGGAGAGGAGATTAACTTGTATCCTGTCACATTTGCATGCAAAAGCGTGAACTTTGTAATGACATTGTGTGTGACTCATCATTGCAGGAAGTCTTGAATTAACTCCACGACAAATGCATCAAATAATCATTCCCCAATAGCAAAGTTTCTCTGGCCCAGAACTGGCCCACACAATTAGCTTTTGCTTGGCCCACATGCCGCAGAGAACTACGGTACATGACTGGACTGAGTCTGTCTTCCTACAAGAACCAAACATGGACCATATCTGGACCAAGTCTCAGCCAAGTTAATAACCCATAACTGGGCCTAAACTGGGCCAGATATGTTGGTATGTCACGACTGCCAAGAATTTGATAAACCCATGAAGCATTTCGCTTTATGGCCATGCTTTTTCTCGAAGCGACCTGATTGGTAGAATTTTTTCTTTACTCAAAAATAATTTAAATGTATTTTAAAAGTGGGTCAAGTTAAGCCAAACTTACGTGGCCCACATATACATTTTTAACATATGGGCCAAATACTACATTTGACATCTGGCCCAAGTCTTGAGTGCCGCCTTATTGACGGTTCCATCTCTGCCAAAGCTGGGCCATGATTGGCCCACATGCTGTATGCCAGTGCCGGATGAATGCCTGTTGTGCCAGCTTTAGGCCAAATCTGGGCCAGAATTCTTAGCTACCTGGCTTGGGATAGTTCTTACTGTAGCATTTCTCATGAATATGACGTGAGATCTGCTTCCTTCATTTCTGTCACTGTGCTGTTTATCTGACACAACATTAAGGCACACTCCGACAGGCATGTGGGAATGGTGGGCGGGGAGAACTAGCATTAAATGCACAGACCATAAAAACAGCTACATTGGGCTCTATTTTGACGGTCCATGCGCAAAACAGAAAGCGCAGGGCGCAAAACGGAAAGCGCAGGGCGCAAACGCATTCAGAGAGTATCATAATCCATATTTTCTAATATAAGGATGGGAAAATCCGCTTTGCGCCATGGTGCATGGGCTAAAAGGGTTGAGTTTATTTTTTTATGAGTTATAGGTGTGTTTTGAGAATAAACCAATCAGAGTCTCATCTCCCATTCCCTTTAAGAGCCAGCTGCGTCGCACAATAAGCGCATTTGCTATTTACATGACGTAAAGTAAGTTCACTTTCACTTTTGCTCTCGTGGATAGGGAAACCTTAACGCACAGAAACATCAATTAGCCTATAAATAATTAATTTTATTTGTTAAGCGCAAAGATTTGTTTCAAAACTATTTCTAAATTCAGTTCTAATTTCCAGCAATTGAATAAATGAACAATAATAACGAAGTGTGGTCAAAATACTGAGTTATTTCCAAACACACCTGCTATGCCCCATATGGTCTAAAATCTGACAGGTGGACAAATCTAAGCTTGTTTTTAATAAAACAAATATAAATATGGATATAATAAATAATACTGCTAATAATAATAACATTATACTAAAGCAAATTGAATGAACTGAAAAAGCCTCCCAAGATGAAGAAATTATGAAGGCAGTGGTTTTTAAATTCTTGTAGGCTAGAAATTAATATGTTTTGTAATATTTTAATCATTTATATTTATATCCTATATATATCCTTATTATATACATCCTTAATATATTCTATCTTTTTCATATGTAAAGATATTTGCGTATTGCTCTACATCTTGTGTGTAGTGTGTAAGCCAGGCGTACTTTGCGCCAGACAATAGACCGACTTTATTCTGGTTTAAAGAACAGACTATTTACAGTTTCTCAAAATAGCAACGCGCCAAAACACGCCTGCTTTTTTAGACCAGAACGTCTATGGGCGCACATTTGAGCGCAAATGCATTTGCTATTTAAACAGTGTGGTGCAATGCCTCAAAATGACCCTTGCGCCGAGCTGAAAGTAGCAAATAACAATTGCGTTGCGCCTTGCGCCACATTGCGCCAGGTGTATGATAGGGCCCATTGTGTTTAGAGCAGAAAATTCCAACATTCTGTAAGGTATGATAAAATATCTGATGGGTATTTTGAGCTGAAACTTTACAAACCCATTCTGGAGACACAAAAGACTTCTCTTAAATCTTAAAAAAGGGTAAAATAGTTGCCCTTTAACTTAACATTTTTAGTCAGTTTGAATAATGTAAGTCGAGATGACTAGAAAAGTTCATTTGATTCAACTGAAAAAATAAGGCAGCAGTGTAATTATGTTGACTTAAATATCTCTGCTGACAGGAGGCAGACAGCGGAGGAGAGGGAGGCCGAGCGACAGCAAGCCAACCGTCTGATGCTGCAGCTTCAGCAGGAGGCCTTTCAGAAGACCCTGAGTCAGCCGCTCCAACAAGACCCGCTCTGCCTTCACAACTCCTCGCTTTATGCCCTGCAGAACTTACAGCCCTGGGCAGAGGACAATAAGGTGACGTCGGTCACCTCAGTCGCATCTGTGGTCTGACCCGCAGCTCTCATTGTGTGTGCTATAGTTAACCGAGAACGGATTTATAGTGCTTAACGTAATTTGGGTGGATCTGGCATCCTGATTGGGACTCACGAAGCCATAAGATTTTTTGTTTTCAGTGAGACCTAAAAAAAAAATCTTTTTTCAATCATATAGCTACTGTGTGGAATTAATAGCCTCAGTAGCATGAGGTTAAAATCACTAAACAATCCCGGTAAAATAATAAACTGTATTTATTTATTTGTGTGTTTAATTATCAGTTTTTCCCCAACACAAACATGCCTATTTAAAACAACACTCCACTTTATTTTGCTGGAAATGGGCTCATTTTATAGAGTTATACAGCTGAGAATTTGCAGGTCTGTTGGAAGCACTTTTAGCTTAGCTTAGCATAAATCATTGAATCAGATTAGACCATTAGCATCTCACACAAAACATAAAAAAAAGTTTGACATTTTGAGCTCGACTCTTCAGTAGTTTCATCGTCTACTAAAATTGACAGAAAATGAAAAGTTGTGATCTTCGGGTTAGTCAAGAGCACTTTTATCTTAGCTTTGCATAAACTATTGAATCAGATTAGACCATTAGCATCTTGCGCAAAACATAAATAAAAGTTTGACATTTTCAGCTTGAATCCTCAGTAGTTACATTATGTACTAAGAATGACGGAAAATAAATAGTTGTGATCATCAGGTTTGTCGGGAGAACTTTTATTTTAGCTTAGCATAAACCATTGAATTGGATCAGACCATTAGCATCTTGCGCGAAACAAAGTTTTACATTTTTTCTATTTTAATCTCGGCTCTTCAGTAGTTACATCGTGTACTAAGATTGACAGAAAATTAAAAGTTGTGATTTTCAGGTTTGGCAGGAACACTTTTAGCTTAGCATAGATTACTGAATCAGATTATACCATTAGCATCTCACTCAAACGTAAAAAAAAAAAGAAAAAAAAAGAGTTTGACTTTTTTTATTTAAAGTTGGACTCTTCGGTGGTTACATTGTGTACTAAGATTGATGGAAAATGAAAAGTTGTGATCTTCGGGTTTGGCAGGAACACTTTTAGCTTAGCATAGATCACTGAATCAGATTAGACCATTAGCATCTTATTCAAACTTAAAAAATAAAGTTTTACATTTTTGTTAAAGTTGAACTCCTCAGTAGTAACATCGTGTACTAAGACTGATAGAAAATGGAAAGTTGTGACCTTCAAGTTTGTAAGGAGCAACTTTTAGCTTAGCTTAGCACAAATTAATAAATCGGAATAGACCATTAGCGTCTCACGCAAAACAAAAAAGTAATTTTTTTTCTATTTTAAGCTTGACTCTTTAGTAGTTACATCGTGTACTAAGATTCATAAAAAAAGAAAAAGTTTTGGGTTTATTAGGAGCACTTTTAGCTTAGCTAAGCTTAGCATAGATCACTGAATAGGATTAGACCATTAGCATCTTGCTCAAAAAAAAACCTAATTTTACATTTTTTTGTTTAAAGTTGGACTCTTCCTTAGTTACGTTGTGTACAAAGATTGACGGAAAATGAAACAGTTGTGATCTTCAGGTTTAGTAGGTACACTTTTACCTTTGCTTAGCATAGATAATTAAATAGGATTAGACCATTAGCATCACACGCGAATAGGTTTGACAATTTTCTCTTTTAAAGCGGGACTATTCTGTAGTTATATTGTGTGCTAAGACTGATGGAAAATAAAAAGCTCTTATTAGGCAGATATAGAAACTATAGGAACTATATTCTCATTCTGGCGTAATATTCAATATATTCCATCGCTGAAGCAGGCACATTGATTTTACGCAGTACCTGAAAATAGTCCTCAAGAAGACAACATTGCTGCATAATATAATTCCACCTGCTGCAGCTAAAGTTTCATGATTGTTACACTAGAATGAGAGTATAGTTCCTATCATTGCAATTCAATCTAGAAAATAGCAAGCTTTCATTTTCTGTCAGTTTTAGTACACATGATTAACTACACAAGTGTCAAGCTTTAAATAGGAAAATTATCAAAACTGTTTTATTTTTGAGTGAGATGCTAATGATCTAATCTGATTCAATGATTTATGCTAAGCTAAGCTAAATTCCAACTGTTTAACTTGTAAAATGTGCCTATTTCCAAAAATGCAGTGTTCCTTTAAATCTTGGCATGGATCAAAAATGTATTTCCAGTTAAATTGGAAATAAACACAAAAACTAATCTCGTCCCTTACGCTACATTCTCGTTCCTCTTTCTTCAGCTACCCATCTAACAGAGGGACGGGCTTTGTCCTTTCCAACCCCAAACCGCAAAGCTGTCTGATGAATTTCACCCATCAAGACGGCTGTTTGTCTACGTGCCATTTGGCATCGAGGAGACTGACTCAACCCCAGACTCGTTCATTCTTGTTCTTTTTATTTGTGTTTGTTTTGTTCTCCCCCTTTGGACTTTGTAAGATGTGTTTGTGATGCATGTTCTCTACATTTCCTGTATGAAGAGATGGACTAAAAACGGTTAGTTCTGTCAAACTGGAGTCCTTCCTAAAACGCACTTTGGAAGCAATTACAGAGGCGCTCTTTCTCTCTCTCTGGATTCTTCATGACGTGACGTTTAAAGGTGTTTTATATTAAAAAGAATTGTGACTTCTAACACTGTTCTGGTTCCTCCTCCTTGAACAGGGGTTTTCAACCTTAGACCTAAGGAAGTACTAACAAAAAAAACAAAAAAGAAATAATAAAAAAAAAAGAAATAATAATGATTTTTTTTATTTTAAGTGCTGGACAAAGGTTAATCGTAATTAATTGCATCCAAAATAAAAGTTTGTTCTTATGTAACATATGTGTGTGTACTACACATTTAACACACATTTATACAGAAAAACAAACTATAAAAATTATTTACATCAATATTTAATATTGTTAATTATAATAAATATTATTGGTATCATTTACCTGTAAATATTTTATTTATGTTAAAATATTTAACTAATATTAACTTATGCATGTATTTTTTAATTTATATTATGTAAATACAACTTTTATTTTATATTTTAGATGTGATCAAAATCTAAATATATATATACTCTCAGAGATAAAGAGTTGTGATTGGGGGGGTACCTTTTCAAAAGATACAAATTTGTACCTAAAAGGTCCATATTAATACCACAAGGTATATTGGTACCTAAAAAGTACAAAAGTGTTCCTCTTACTAATATATACGTCTGAGGTATGGACCCTTCAATTACAAATGTGTACCTTTTAAAAAGGTACCACCCCAGTGACAGCTCTTGTACCTTTATTTTAGGAGTGCATATATATATATATATATATATATATATATATATATAAATATATAAATAATTTTTAAAAAAAAATTTTTCAATGTTTTATTGTCCAGTTTTGGTGAGCCTGTGTGAATTGTAGCCTCAGTTTCCTGTTCTTAGCTGACAGGAGTGGCACCTGGTGTGGTCTTCTGCTGTAGCCCATCTGCCTCAAGGTTGGATGTGTTGTGCATTCAGAGATGCTCTTCTGCATACCTTGGTTATAACGAGTGGTTATTTGAGATACTGTTGCCTTTCTATCAGCTCGAACCAGTCTGGCCATTCTCCTCTGACCTCTGGCATCAACAAGGCATTTACGGCCACAGAACTGCCGAACACTGGATTTTTTTTTTTTCAGACCATTCTCTGTAAACCCTAGAGATGGTTGTGCGTGAAAATCCCAGTAAATCAGCAGACCAGACCAGCCCGTCTGGCATCAACAACCATGCCACGTTCAAAGTCACTATATTCACCTTTCTTATCCATTCTGATGGTCGGTTTGAACTGCAGCAGATCGCCCTGACCATGTCTACATGCTAAATGCATTTAGTTGCTGCTATATGATTGGCTGACTAGAGATTTGCGTTAATGAGCAGTTGGACAGTTGTACATAATAAAGTGGCCGACGAGTGAATGCATTTGTATAATATAGATATATATATATGTGTGTGTGTGTATGTGTATGTATATATATATATATATATATATATATATATATATATATATATATATATATATATATATATATATATATATATATATATACACACACACAGTATAATTGGTTATTTCTTTGAAAACTTAATTATGAAATTTAGAATATTATTAGATCATAATAAACAATAAAATTCTGAATAGGACTCAGAAAACATATCTTCAACATTTGACTAAAATTAAAAAAAAAGATTAAAACAAGTAATTAACTGTGCAAATAAATAAATAAATGGTTTATTAAAAACCATATTACACTTTATACATCCAAAAATAATTATTCAAAACAAACATGAATTGTCCACCGTATAAATGAGGTTGTTTTACAAGAAACTAAAGGTGGCCATTACATTATAAGATGGGGGGTCCCTTGCATGAAAATGGTCATACTTGGAGTCTGTGTCATCTAAAAGATTAAAAACCCGTTTAAAAATCTTTTGCATCACTACAAACCACAGATAAAGCCACCACAGTTGTTGTTTTCAGGAAATTAAGCTTAAAATTTTCATTTTCCTAATAAGAAAAAGTACAACTAGTATACCTACATTAAAAAACCTGATTCATTGGATTTACTATTTTTTTTAGGTAAGTGTTTGCTAACAATTTAAATGGGCTGAATTTAAACAAATAAATTAAGTTGAACATTACATTTAATGTGTTTTTTAAATTCAGCCCATATAAATGGTTAGCAACCACTTACCTTAAAAAAATTGAGTAAATCCAATGAATCATTTTGGGGCGGCACGGTGGCTCAGTGGTATGCAAGGTCACCTCACAGCAAGAAGGTCGCTGGTTTGAGTCCCGGTTGGACCAGTTGGCATTTCTGTGTGGAGTTTGCATGTTCTCCCCATGTTCATGTGGGTTTCCACCGGGAAACGCAATCTCACGGCAATTCAGAACTTTTTGATTTAGTTTCTCATTCGTATGAATTTGTACGATTTAATTCTTACAATTTAATACGATTTGCTCATCACCAAACGAAAGTTGGGGTTAGGGATGGGGCTGAGTGGCACACCATTAAAATTGTTCATTTTCATACAACTAGACTTAAATTCGTACGAATTAGTCACTAAATTGACAAAACGTAAAATACTTACGTTTCCTTGTAAGTTCAGGCTGGTCAAAAGTGATTTGAATAAGCTAATTTGCCTGTAGTCTATGAAAGTGTATGGGTGTTTCCCAGTGCTGGGTTGCTGCTGGAAGGCCATCGACAGCGTAAAACATATGCCAGAATTATTGGTGGTTCATCCCACTGTGGCGACCTCTGAAATAAAGGCTAAACCGAAGGAAAATAAATGAATAAATCTATTTCTTTCAGCGTATTAGTTTAAATCATCACACATTGCATGTAAGAACCTGTTAAAGAGAAACCAGCAAGTTCAGTTTGTATACAAAAACAAAGCTCTTGATGCATATTTTGAATGCAGCCGTCACCCATGTCCACCCGGACACTGTAGAGGGGTAAACAACTGATCAGATCTCAGTGAACACAAGCAGCAGTCAAAACAGCTCTTTCCTCATTGGTTCAAACAGAGGAGTGAGATCCACGCTACACAGGGAGGGACGAGGAATCATGGCCGTTTTATTCGCACTAAATGAGGCTTTACATTCTGTTGTACACATGACTGCATCTCCCAGGAAATGCTAAAGCTGTAAACTGATTACGGCACTTCACAGCCTGTGGCTTTCAGAAAACAACCAGCAGTCGCAGAAACCGCAGACTGGAAACACCGCTGGAAAACATGTGCGATCGGCACGTTTGAAA